GGGCGTGCGCTAGCGACGTGCATGGAGCGCGAGATGCAGGAGTGGTCCGAGGCATTTCTCCAAAACTTACGAGTACGTGCGGAGACCTTTCGTTATTCAACGAGTTGGCAATTCCAGAATACAAGGGCGATTGAATTTCTACGAGGCCCTCTCAGAGAGCGGCGAATCTCATTCCAACGGGCACTGATTCTGAGTCAAGTGATGCCCCTACCAATGCCGACAAGACGCATGCAGAGACAGGCAAACGGTAGGAGAGAGTGACACCAACAATCTTGTCACGATCGATTCCGCCGCCTGTGAAGATTTCGTCTTCAATGCCTCCAAGCATGATGGGGGTCCAGAGGCCCGTGAGGGGTATTTCCCCCAGTGCTTCGATGGCGCCCAGCGGACCCCAGAGGACACCTCCGGAAACTCGGAGGCCCTTGGGGAACATTTCGCCCAGCACCCTGATTGAGCCCAGTGGGTCCCAGAGGTTATCGTCGGAAACTCAGAGGCCCTGGAGGAATATTTCCACGCCTCCGACGATTATTCCCCCGAGTTCCAACAGTTTTCCGAACGCGATGGAGGCGGGTGAGAATGCGGGGGCGGTCGCCGAGGGACGCGCGCAGCGCGGGGGCGGAGAGGCCCCCCCAGGGCCGAGAGACGTGGGGCGTTTCTTGACGGCCCAGGGAATCCAGAGAGATTCGGCCAGGCGGGAGGCTTTGTTTCGAAGTGGGCACGTTCGGGAGATGGTTCGACGAATGGCGTGATACTTAGCCCCCCTCCGGTCTGGGCTCGGGTAACTCGCGCCCGCGTCTAGCGCCTCGGGCAGTCGGCCAGAACGAGGTCGAGCCTCGGTCAGCATCCCAGGCGTTTTGGATCCTAACTGCAGGGTAGCTTCTGGGACATCTCGAACTTTTCACGGAGGGCCAGCCTGGCCCAAAGGGGGCGTTTCCCTCCTTCCCTTCTCCGCCCTCCTCCGCCTCCTCGCCCTCCTCGCCGTTCCTCGATCCGGGGGGGGGGGTCTTGAGGGGCCATCGATCTGTAGGCTTGCGCCGCGTCCTGCGACGCCTCGATGTTGTCGGGGGCGCGAGGTCGAAGGGCCCCCCCCCAGTTCATCGTGAAAAAGGGGGGTCACTGCTGGTTCGACCCCCCCCCCTCGAGCTCGAAAGCCGGGGGGGTCGCTGCTGGTTCGAACCCCCCCCCCCGAAAACCGAGGGGGGGTGCGGGACAGTGGTGGGGGCGGTGGTGGTGGGGGCAGTGGTGAGGGGACAGCGGGACAGTGGTGGGGACAGTGGGACAGTGGTGGGGGCGGTAGTGGCGGGGACAATGGTGAGGACAATGGTGGGAACAGTGGGGACAGTGGGACAGTGGTGGGGACGGTGGTGGTGGGGGCAGTGGTGTGGGGACAGTGGGAATGTGGTGGAAACAGTAGGACAGTGGAGGGTACAGTGGTGGTGGGGACAGTGGTGAAGGCGGTGGCGAGGACGGCGGTGGGACAATGGGACAGAGGTACAGTGGGGACAGTGGTGGGGACAGTGGGGACAGTGGTGGGAACAGTGGGACAGCTCAGTGGTTCGAACGGTAGTGACCCCCCCTCCGGTTTTCGAGGGGGGGGGGGGGGGTTCGAACCGGTAGTGACCCCCCCCGGTTTTCGAGCTCGAGGGGGGGGGTAGGGCAGGGGGGGGGGGGGCAAGCTAGGTGCGCGCGGGAGGGGTTCCAGCAGGGGGGGGATTTTCGGAGGGGGGGGGGGGGGGGGGGGGCGGGTTCCGGAGGAAAAGGGCGGTAATTTTCCACAGTAAAGCGGCGGTGGATCACGCTCTCTCAGATCAGTGGATGCCAGGTTTGAAGGGCCGGAGCGACGCTGCTCTGATCCTGGACCCCTGAAACCACATGGGCACTTGTCCCCCGCGCGTGAACGACATCCAGCCAGATAGTTCCTTCCGCGGCATCCGCTTCCACGCGCTTCATCGTTGATCCAGCTTATTCCCGGGCTTCAGCCAGCCCCCTCCGCTTCAATGGTATCGGAATCGAGCGTCACAGCCACCCATCGTTGTTTCTGGGACGCCCGCCCTCGAGTTGCCCCTGGGGAGTTGCCTCCGTGCCTTTCCCTTCGGAAACCGCCGCGGTCATCTTAGTGCCCGGGGGCGACGGGGGGCGCCCATGCAGTTGCTTGCGTGGGCCGCTCCCAGGGCGCGTTCTGACCAAAGCTTCGGGCCGAGTGACGTGCCCGGGGCAGGCCGGAAACGCGCGGCGGGTCGCGCGCGGGCCCGTGAACGAGGAGAGGTTGAACAGTGCCGTTTTTGCCATGTTGAGCGGTGCGGTCGGTTAAATTTCAGCCGCAGTCTGCAGATTTCGCGCGGGATCTTGGTCGCGGAAGCCGTGCGCGACGATTGCGAGTGCGACGAGCGTTGTTGGGGGGCTGATCAGCCCATGGACATGGTGCTGGCAGCCCAGTGCTCGCAGAATGTAGCGGCGTGGTGCGCGGCGGACTACCAATGCAAGCGGTGGGCCCCGTCGTTCAATGCTGCGATAGAAACCAAGAAAGTGCGCCGCGCGCTGGCGGAAGAGACGAACAACAGGGCCGCGGTAGATCGAGCGCGGAGCGCAGGAAGAGGCTCCTCAGTGACGCGCGCGGGAGAGGCGCGGTGCGATCGGCGCAGGAAAGTGCGAACTTGCGCACGCACGGAGACCGGGAGACGGGGCCGCGCCCGACAGCGCCAGGGGAGAATTCGACAATACTAGCAGTGATTTGTCAACTCCACTGCTCGCGCAATCCCCCTGCCCGCCCGCCCGCAACTTGGCTTGCGGAACCCACGCGACGGCGATTGTGATGAGCGCTTGGCGTCGGCTGGTGCAGCTCTGCGGCCGCGCTAGCCCGCGCGCGCTCGCGCGCGCGGCCGCCAGCTAGTGCGGCGCGGCCGACGCGGCCGCGGTGGCGCTGACTGCAGTGCACTTCCCAGCGGGCACTTTAGTGCGAGTCGGTGAGTTGGGCAGACGCAGCATCATGGCGACACCGACAACGGTAGACGCGATGATGAGCGTAGCGATGATGGTGGCGATGGTGGCGATGACGACGGCAGGGCCAATGGCAGCGCCGATGTTGGTCGCGCCCGCCAGTGACGATGGCGATGCCCTCGCGTCGGTAATGAAGGTTTTGGAACGAGTTCGACATGCGCGCGCGGCCCGTGCGCGCGAGTGGCCCGCGTGGAATCATGTGACGCGAATCGCGCCCCCCCCCCTTCCCCAGCACGCGCGCGGCGGCGGTCGGGTGAGTTCCACGCGCGGTGCGAGAGGCCCGTCTTGCAGAATTTGATGACGACGTAGAACACTTATTTTTGACATGCAATTTAAAATAATTCGCAATCGCGCGCTCAGGTTTTATATGGCAGAACAGACAATGCTGCAACGCCATGTGTTCTGGTATGTTTTCGGTGCGCTCGTTGTTTGACATCCTCACGACACCTGAGGTTCGTTGAAAAGATTTCGGCATGCGCGAGCGACGACGCGCGCGCGTGCAGTTCGTTTCGTTTTCGCAAGCAGAGTCTTGCGACGTCGCGCGCAAGGGTGTTCGAGTGAGTTCGACACGCGCGCGCGAAAAGCCCGTGTGGTAGCTCTTCTATGAGTATTTGGAATATCCGATGGTTTTCTGTAGAATGCGAAAAAGCGCAAGCGCACGTCTCCTTGTTTGGGGAAACTCTTGTTGCGAATGGATGGCGGCGTTGGCTTGCCTTGGATGGTCTGCGTTCATATTTTCGATGGGCGATGGGGCAGAATCATATGCGCATTGCATTGCGAAAAAAGGGGTGCTGTTAAGTGTGGGGAGGAGAGGTCAATCATATTATTATTCCGAATGGATCATTGATGCGTGCGGCGACGTGGCGGCGACCGTGCGGCGACGACGGCGACGTAACCGCGAGACCGCCACCCAAGCCCAGGCGACGGGCGGCGACGAGGCGACGACGGGGCGACGACGGCGGCAACATAACCGCCTGATCGCCACCCGGGCCCAAACGACGGGCGGCGACGAGGCGGCGACAGGGCGGCGACGGCGGCAACCTGGTTTCTCGACCGTCACCCAGGCCCAGGCGATGGGCGGCGACGATGCGGCGACGGGGTGGTGACGGCGGCGACAGCCGCCTGACCGCAATCCAGGCCCAGCTTCTCAGGAAAAAATACAAGAACCCGTACACGCAAACACTGTTTGGGAACGATGCGTGTATATAGAAGTATACGTACATGCACACATATATACACACGTATACGTGTACATAAATCCACATATGCAATACATGTGTGTACATAGACACATACAGTCGAGGGGTATAGCTGGCTATGTTGAAACGGGGAGAGAGAGAGAGAGAGAGAGAGAAAGAGAAAAAGAGAGAGAGAGAGAGAGAGAGAAAGAGAGAGAGAGAGAGAGAGAAAGAGAGAGAGACAGAGAGAGAGAGAGAAAGAGCGAGAGAGTGGGGAAGAGAAAGAGAGAGAGAGAGAGACAGAGAGAACAAGAGAGATATGTAGAAACAGAGAGAGAGAGAGAGAGAGAGAGAGAGAGAGAGAGAGAGAGTGCGAGGGGGGGAGAGGGACATAGAAAGGGAAAGAGAGAAAGAGAGAGAGAACTATATATAACGAGAGATACTATATATATATAGCAAGGCAGCAAGAGACGGAAAGAGAGAAAGAGAGAGATATTTAGATAAAGGGAGATATAGTCAATTATGTATGTATGTGTATGTATGTTAACATGTATACATAAACAGAGATAGGGATACACACACATATATATATACACATACACAAATACAGAGATAAACACATACATACCAAAGAGGGGGAGAGATAGACAAATAGGGATATAATGCTACACGCACATATATATATATACAGATGTATCTGTTCACATATATGTAGAAGGGAGAACGAATGATATATATATAAACACAACGATCAATATAAAGAGAGGAAGAGAGGAAGAGAGGAAGAGTAACAGAGTGAGAGACAGAAGCAGAAACAGAGAGAGAGAGAGAGAGAGAGAGAAAAAACAAAATAATCAAACAAGGGAGGGAAGGCGAAAGAGAGGGACGGAGGGACGGAAAGGGAGGGAAGGCGAAAGAGAGGGACGGATACCCCACGGACTGCCAGGCGATGACCGCACGGCTCTCGGCGCTGGCCCAGAGCCTCGTTCGGCACGGTGCCCCAAGGGCTGGGGCTTCGCTGGAAGTGCGTGCAGTTCTGGGACAAGGGATGGGAGCTGGAGGAGGAGGAGGAGGAGGAGGAGGAGGAGGAGGAGGAGGAGGAGGAAGGAGGAGGAGGAGGAGGAGGATCATCTCCGGTCTCCTCGGCCCCGCCAGATCTCTTCGTCCATCGGTCTCTCCATGGCCTTTGTTTTATCTGTGCGGCGTGCTTAGGGCAGCCTAGGCTAGGGGTACCCTGTGCGCAGCATTCCCAGGCGGAAGGCGTTCCAGGTCCTCAGAGCCTAGAACTTGCAGCGTGTTCGATTTTTCGTCCGAGCCAGTGTTGTGGACGGACCAGGCCGCACATCAGTAGTCACCGAGTGCGATTGCGTACCGGGTTTCATGCAGCTTGCCGAGCGGAGCCAATGCCTTGCAAGTTCAGTGTTGTGTTTTTCATGTGAGCATTGGGGGCAGGTGCCAGCCGAGACAGCCTCCACCGCCGCAAGCACAAGGACTGGATGATATTGGCTTTCAGTTTCGGAGGATGAACGAATCTGGAGATCTGTGGGAGAGGTCTGGAATGGCAGTGGGGTGGTTGACTGCAGGTACCTATCCTTCCTCCTTCCCTCCGCGTCCATCCCGCCTCCCTCCTGGGCTACCTCAGCCGTATCTCGCACCATACGGGCAACACGCGTGTGCAAAGACCTCTGAGTCGCACAACCTCGTCATCATGATCAGGATCCCCCTGCCAGAGGAACTTATAGATTCGGAGCGAATTGCACTTACTGCTGTCGTGATGGGCAGCATGCGCTATGTCTGCCTGATTGTCGACGCCGGCTACATCCAGCTCGACCGATCCCAGCTAGTAGTGCACATCTACGTCACGGTCCAGCTGAACGACCTGTCTGGGCGTCATTCAGTGCACGAGAGAATCGGGAGAGGCGAGTCTAGCATGGCAAGGGGGGGGCTTGGGGGAGAGGGGGAGGGGGGGAGGAAATGGCGGAGGGTGGGGGGGAATAAGAAGGAGGAGGAGGAGGAGGACGAGGAAGACGAGGAGGAGGAGGGGGTGAGGCAAGGCTCATGCATGGAGGGGCGACGAAGCAGCAAGATGAAGCGGAGGAGGAGGAGGAGGACGAGGACGAGGAGGAGGAGGAGGAGAAGAATGGATCAGGTCAGGAAGGGAGGAAGGGCGAGGGGGGGCATACCCCAGGGAGGGGGCAGAGAGCGATAACGAGAGCGAGAGAACAACGAGGGAGAGAAAGAGAGAGAGAGAGAGAGAGAAAGAGAGGGAGGGAGAGGGATACACATATATATATATACATATATAGAGAGAGAGAGAGAGAGAGAGAGAGAGAGAGAAAACAAAAAAAACAAAACAAAACAAAACAAGAAAAGCAGCGCGCGCAAACCCGCCGCGAGAGCCTGGACGAGCTCCTCAGCGGGGTCCCGCGCCGCAGCGCGGAGGCTGGCCGAGCGGGGGGGGGGGGAGAGTCAGAGGGGCAAGAGGTCATGATGTGTCGTGATGATGATGATGCTGCTGATGATGATGATGCTGATGATGATGATGGTGATGATGATGATGATGATGATGATGATGAAGAATAGGATGATGATGATGACGATGCTGATGATGATGATGCTGATGCTGATGATGACGATGATGATGATGATGATGATGATGATGATGATGATGATGATGCTGATGATGATGACGATGATGATGCTGATGATGATGATGCTGATGATGCTGATGATGATGATGCTGATGAAGCTGAAGCTGATGCTGATGCTGATGCTGCTGCTGCTGATGATGATGATGATGGTGGTGGTGGTGGTGCTGATGATGATGGTGATGATGATGACGATGATGATGATGATGATGGTGATGGTGTGGTGATGATGGTGATGCTGGATGATGATGATGCTGAGCTGATGATGATATTGCTGATGTGATGATGATGATTGATTGCTGATGCTGATGGCGATGCTGATGCTGTGCTGATGATGCTGATTTCGGTGGGTTGATGTGTGATGGCGTTGATGATGATGCTTATTGATGATGATGACGATGATGATGCTGATGATGATGCTGATGATGCTGATGATGATGATGATGATGATGATGCTGATGATGATGATGCTGATGATGAAGCTGAAGCTGATGCTGATGCTGATGCTGGTGCTGATGTTGATGCTGATGATGCTGATGCTGCTGCTGATGATGATGCTGATGATGATGATGGTGATGATGATGATGATGATGATGATGATGATGATGATGATGATGAATATGATGATGATGACGATGATGATGATGATGATGATGATAATGATTATGATGATGATG